ATTTGAGTTTGATCTCTATTTTCTTGGTCTATCTCGATCTCAAGGTCTAAGTTCAAGTATGCAAACCACTTCTATCCTATGATACTTCTCTGCAATTCCACCCCGTAATGGACCTATCTCTACATCCGGACACTAGAACCCCTAGGACACTTCAAGGAAGTCAAGCCTGAAGACTCACACTCACAATCAAATGTGCCGTGATGCCGTCTCGTGCTGGCTCCCTGATGACAAGTAATTCACACTACTCCAGCTTGCAGTCCAGAAGACGGGAATATGAAGACGGGCATTTAACATAGTAATTCTCGACCAGCATAGTATCACCATAATTCCTATTCTCAAGTCAGGTAAGGTTGTTGTATGTTCAGTTCGTGAGACGTGATTGGCGCCTTCAATCGACTGTATCTGTCAAACTAATGCATGAAAGTTATGCATCCCAGATATGTCGTGTACCCCAACTTGCATTGGCCTTGACTCATGGCCAAACTCTAACACTGAGACTCTTGTCTCTGCAGACGAGGAAACCCGTTGGTCCGTGAACCCGAACCCAGCCTCAATCAGATCTCAATCTGTACGGGAGTCTGTGCGCTAGGAGTAGACTGGTACGTAGCTTTCGTGGGTACGGTACGACATTAAGATTCAAATGCCGGCATAGAGCTCTTCGAAGTGAGGCTTCTAATCTGATGAGGCTTGACACCCGACGCTAGAGGGGTCCCGCGGGAAGCCTTTGACTCCTTATTGGTTCTGATTAGTATGCTTGTCCTAGTCGTCGTGACTCCCGAGGAGTAGATCATCCGACCAAGATCTCCAAGCCTCGGCAGTCCTTGGAGACGTGAATTGATTACGACGCGGGATCGTCGGGATGAATGTAACTTGCCTACCTAGTCCTTGTTATTTCGGGCCATACAATTACCGAAATCCTATACTTTGTCGGCCCGACTCTGCCATAGACGAAGCCCCGACAGATCTGATAAAGAAGCGTACCAGAAGGACATGATATAAGTTCGAGACCTTCTTGGCACAAAGCCTCTTAGGGATCACATGTGGAACTTGTGCTAAGCGAACTGAACGAACCGATCATTTATGGGTATTTGCTTGTTATGTTTCAACAGCAATCCACAAGGCCCAGTTATTCAAAAGGCCTTCAGTATCCGCTGTTGACTCTCCTCTCCGGGGATCTTTCCCGAATAGTAGTTGGACTAGGCTCAGGCCATGATTAAGGATTCTTTGTTGGACCCTGCAGATGCCAGAAACGGCATGTGAAGTGACACAAAGACTGAGGCTACTGAGGCAGAAGGCTTGTCCCAAAGCAGCGAGATCCGTCAGAGGGGTAGTTGTACCAAGGAACATATATAAAGTTATTGGCTTGACAGACTAACTTGGTGGTTGCTGCGCAGTCTTAGCGCATGGTGGCGTTGCTTATCGATCCTTTGCGCACAGAGGTTCATCTCAAAATCTGGGGAAACACATCTCCAGATTTTCGTGACCGCTTTGGTTATGCTTGTGCCGGCGCCCAAAGCGCTCGAAGCGAGGCAAAGACCAGCCCCATTTGCCTGTTCAGAACCGGAAGGTCGTGATACTATCATTAGCACAAAAGACCAGCGCTAACCATGCACGTTTTGTCACCTGTTGTTCGATTTAGAGTTTCGGGACATGTTAAAGATTGTCCGATGAATTACTCGTGCAAACACCACGTAGCTTCTTCTACTGTTGCTCATGACTCGTGAGGACTCTGCTGCATATCTGATCGATTACCAAGAGGGGTAGCTCTCCACTAAACCGCCAGCGTGGAGTCGCGATGTGAGCGCTCAGACGGCGATATGACTATTTCCAGCTGAAAGCTTGGCCTCGCGTTATGGATTGGCGGGGTGAAGTGTGAGCCCGGTATCTGAATGACCTGAGCATCGTCACATCTCAATGTGATAGGTGATCCAGGCCTCCGAGGTCTCGAACTACTGCGATTATGAATCAAAGACATACAATAGGCTCATGAACGAGTTGAAAGGCACGAGACACATGCTGGTGACAATAGTAATATCAATCTAGGCTTTGAAATCCACTTTCACTTTTGTGTCTCCGAGTTGTGTTATCATCACAGAGCCAATGCCACTCGTCTGATAATGAGTGAGGTGACGATACGGACGGTAGAGGGTCTCTTCCCGGCTTGAAGTTATATTGTCACTTCTGATCGAGAAGGCCGTGGAATGGGAGTTGCTGTGACCTAACTTGACGAAGCCATAGATGGATTACTTTGGCAGGTTGGGCAAAAGAGCCATGGGACGATGATGTTCAAAACTTCGAGACATTTTGAGTAAAATGTTCAGCATAACCCGGCGAGGTATCAGAACTAGAGGTGCAAAGTCGAAATATCCATCCATTGTCTATGAGGGCAGTTGTTGGTGGACTATTATTCACGCTTCACTAGCATAGATGTACTTGTGGCTCCATAATGGAAGGGAAAAGGTAAATGAATATAATTATCACTACGAATATAACGATCTCTATCAATTGTATTTCTATCAGGTCTAAGAAGCAAGAAAACATGGTAATAACGACGTGTCTTGAGATGTCTACACTTGGGTTACCTCCATATTAACCCCCCGAGCTACTCAACTCGATTACTTTTCACACTTCTCATCATCGTACACAGCCGGGTCTATCTCTATCAAACAGAGCGAGTGTAGCTCAGAGATCGACGGTGACCGTGGCTATGAGCAGCCGATGCGTGGCTGTTATGCGTTCTAGCCCTCCACATCTCCTCAGCCTCGTTCATGGCGTCATCTTCAGTCACAGTAACGTGAAGAGACCGCATCTTTTGCAGAACATTGGCAGCCTCCGCAGCGTACTCGCACTTCATGCGAATCTGGCGTCCGTACTTGTAGAAGAGGAAGGGAAAGGGGACACAGGCCAGGGCAAGGAAGGCTGGGATAGAGCTAGCCCACTGAACTCCGAGGCCATCATACATTTGTCTTGTGAACAGAGGAAAAGCGGCACCAAAGAGTGATCGCAGAGCAGAATTAGCTGCCATGATTGACGCCGCAAAGATGACGTCTGGAATTGGTTAGCGAGACTCCGATTGTTCGCGAAAAGGAACTTACAGGAGTCAATGAGATAGTTCAAGAGCGCCATAAAGACAAGTACGAGACCCCAGGCAAAGAATACAGTACCGATAATGGGGACGATCCAGTGGATACTAGGGAAGGTTGTCCAGGCGAACCAAAACAGACCGATGGGAATGAGCAGAGAGCCCATAATGGCTGGTGGCAGTCTGTCCTCAGGCTCCATCGGCGCACCTCTCCTCTGAGCCGCACGCGCGTAGCGCTTGTCTTCAAAAGCGAAACTGATGATAGAGAGAATAACACCGATAACAATACCAGTAAAGGCAAGGCCACCAATACCTTGGCTCCAGCCTCGTCCCTGCTGAAACACGATGGGAAACGCGGCAAAGCACATATACATGGTGCCGTAGATGATGGAGATATAGATGGAGGTGATGAAGACGATAGGTTCTTTGAACAGCAGCAGCCAAGGTCTGGTCAATGCGTTCTTGAGCTGGTGAGCAGCCGAGCTTGGTGGCTTGTCGGCGTCGAGAGTGGAGATGTACACTTTGCCCGTGAGCTTGGACATGTGCTGGGCGCGCTTGCGCAGGATGTACGGCGCGTATGTCTCTGGGATGAAGACAGTGCAGGCAATCCATGTGACGCCAGTGAAGGCAGCCATGAGCCCGTGGAGCCAACGCCAACCTGCAGTCTCGCCAAGGAAACCTCCAGCGATAGGACCTAGACTCTGTTAGTTGCTTGTCGGATCAAGACACAAGATGTGAACCTACCGATGGCGGGTCCCAGGAAAGGGGCTCCCGAAAACATACACATCGCCAAGCCTCGCTCCGACTTGTCAAACATGTCCGCAATCAACGCCGGGGCATTCGATAGAGGGGCAGAGCCAATAGATCCAGTCAAGAAACGAAGTACAAGCAAAGAAGCAATGGAACCTGCTCCAGCTGCCCCAGCACTAAATGCCGTTGCAACCATAAAGGTGAAAAAGAAGACTTTCTTGCGCCCGTAAAGCTCCGACAAAGGCGCCCAGATCAAAGGTCCGAACGTGAAACCCAGAACGTAGAGGGAGATTCCAAGCGTAGCGACTTCTTGAGAGATGCCAAACGCGCGAATGACTTGCTTGATACCGCCCGAGTACGCTGAACTGGCAAATGTAGTTGCGAGACACGCTAGAGATTGGAGGAGGACAAACGCCCACTTCTTCCATCGAGGGAGCAGCTGTGCATTTTGGGAATCGTCCGGGAGGAAGTTGATGCGATAGGGAGCCTGTGTTGTACCCTCTCCTGGGTAGTTCTGATCGATGAAGGACTTGCTGATATGGTGCGCTTGACTATAGATTCGAGAAAGTCGAGGTGGTACTGTATGCTGATGCTCCTGTGTCTTTGGTTCGACGCTGGGTTCGTTGACATTGTTATCATTGCCGATAGTATCGTTGGCAATAGTCTCGGAGGACAACGAGGGAGAACTGGGTTGAGGATCGATAGCCATAGTGAATGGAGGCTGTTTGTGATGTTTCTGACACAATCTCACAGACGTACGATTATGGCATCGTGACACCCATCTCTTAAAGGAGCGAATATTAACTTTTGCTTTTTCCATTGTTGGTTTAGGGGGCGACACGTCCAGCGTGCGATATCGAATTATCCGCGGTGTTTTGGGTCGGTATTATAACCAAGCTTAGAAAGCAGACCGTAGGCCAGTTTTAGTTCCCGCAGGCCACTCGGCGTGCTCCGGAACAGCACGTTATTCCTGCAGGCGCCACTGTCGTAATCATAAGTGGATCACGGCAATATCATTGTCTCACTATATCACCGTCCAAAACCCCGCGGCATTTCATCCTTCTTCAACATCCAGCCAAACCCCGCACCGCCATTCATCTCGGCATCTTACACGACGACAACCAAAAAATATCCACCGCATTTATTTTCGTTTATCTAATTCCCCCCAATGTCTCTACCGTCTCGGGCTTCGTCCACGCCCAAGATTAGCAAGGCCTGCGTGCCGTGTAGAACGCGCAAGATCAAGTGCAATGCTGCTGTCGTTGGGCTTCCCTGCGGCAGCTGTGTTAGTAGAGAGTGCCCGGATGAGTGTGTCTTGTCTGCGCGGAAACGTCGGACTGTGTGAGTTTTAATACATTGACAAGTCAAGTTTTGAATTGAGGTTTGGTTGCTGATGCGTGTTTTAGAAAAGGGCGTAATGCCGAGACGCCCAGGTCGCGGAAAAATATACCAGATACCAATGGTTCCGTTTTGTCGGTTAGTCACTGTCTCATCGCCTCCCTCGTACCATTTCAGTGATACATCCTCTGTACTTCACTACCAGGTTGCCTGTATCAAGCTGATAGTTGTACCATTTATAGCCAAGACAACAACAGCTTCCAACGAATGTATCAAGACAGACAACAGATAGTTCTCATTCTGATCCTGTAGAAGAGTCTATTCATGCAAGCCATACAGGCAGTTCTTTACGCAACGACACTCCCCACTCGAGGGATCGTCGTCCGCCGACCCAGGCCCAGGCTGATCTACTCTACCTTAACATTCTCCAGGATACAGTCAATGACACCTCGGCGGCTCAGACAGATGCAAGTGATCATCAGTCAAATGATGAACCAGATGATAGCTTCAACAGTCAAATACATCACTGGAACCCACCACCTCAGCTTGACGATATTGATAACGATTATCTTGCCAAGAAAAAAGTATTCGAGCTTCCCCCTCCCCGATTCATGTAAGTCCATCTCATCATTGTCAATGAGGCTAGCTAATGTTATTCCAGGGACGATGTAGTCAAAGCATACTTCGACTATGTACACCCTTTCGCACCCATCCTTAACAGAACAGATTTCATCCAGAGTTATCGCTCAGGTAGCTGCTGTCTCTTCTTGCTTCATGCTGTAGCTGCAGCTGCAAGTCTCTATGTCACCCATGACGTCCTGATTGGCTGTGGCTATCCAGATCGCTCAACCGCACAGACATCTTTCTTCTCAAAGGCCAAGCTCTTCCATGACTTTCACTGCCAGGGCGATCCACTCTCCATGTTGCAAGGATCCATGATTCTGGGTGCCATCATCCTGGATCATCCGTCTGACAGGGACTTTCAGTACTGGTTTCACAACTCTGTCCGTCGTGCTTCAAAGATGGGCGTACAAAATGCGTGAGTTGTGACTATCTCACCATCTTTAAACAAGTACATTGCTTACGCATATCAGTTGCCTTCGTGAAGATGGATCCCAAAAGCTGTACCGACGGATTTGGTGGGTTCTCCATGTGAGTCTCGGAGGCAGTCTTATGGTATGAGTACCCGACTAACGCGTTGTAGAACAGGGACATCTTCCATTTCTTCATCAACACGCAGAACATGCGACTACTGGCAAATGCACCGCCAATCAGACCCCTCACGGAAGCTGATTGGGAGACTGAAGACATTGAGCAATGGTCTGGCATCCTATCGCCAATATCTCAGGCCCAAAAGGTATCTCTCATAGCTCAATGCGAGTTAGCACAAATCTGTAGGTCTCGACACTCTCTAGAACCAACGGATTATCTGACATTATCTCAGTCGGGAATGTCATGTCTGTCGTGACGAGTTCAAACCCATCTGCAGAAGAAATTCACAAGCGAATACTGCCTCTCGATGCCTGGCGAACCTCACTTCCCGAAAGGATGCACCTCATGGCTTCCTTTGCAGATAGTGAGATCTATCATCTCGAAGCTCTGACTACTAGTTACCGTTTTGAGTGCATCATGTGTCGTTTGCTTCGTCGCGGACGATGGCAAATGAGTGATGGTGGGTTGCGTGAGTGGGCACAGCAACGCTTCAGATCAGCAATATTTGAGCTTGATACCATCGTCAAACGCGTCATGATCAACAACACGATTCAAAAGTTACCGACTACTTTGTATGTGTCTCTCCTTTGATCCACACCACTTTTGGTTTTCTAATCATTACTTTCTTAGTATCACCACCATCACAGCTCTTTTGGCTCTTCACATAGAGTCTGCTCTTGACGCTGCAGAGTCAAGCCTCATCCGCTCAATGGCTCGGATATCGGTTCAGCACACGATGCTTGCACTTGACCAGATCCGAGATACACCTGCCATCAAGAGGGCATTACCTGCATTTGAGATTGTGCTCTCTAAGAACAAGCTCTACCCAATGTCGACGAGCGATACTGAGCAAATTAATACGATCCAGACCATCCCCCATCACCAGACTCTAAGTGATGGGCCTATTTTGGAACCGCCTCAAGCAGATATGACTTTACCCCAGGATGATCAGTCATTCTTGTATGGGGACTTTATCGGGTTTGACTTTTTAGACCGTTGGCAAATGGAGCAATTAGATTTTACAGGCATTTACTAGAAAACAGTCCTAGATAATCTTTTTCTCACTTAAATTTAATATTCTTTTAAACTTTATTT